AGAGGCCTTTGTATGACCCAGAATATTAGCCGGAGATGTCAGTCCTGGGCTATAAGACGATATTTAGCTAAATTTTAATTGATGGTTCCCTCTCTTTCCCCTCTCTTTCCGGAAAGTCTTAAATAATCTTGTGAGGTACGGAGTTTGTATTACATAATGTAACAGTAATGGATTTATTTTTCTTCATAGACTATTAGATGTTTCTGTACACGTGGATATGTATTTTAGAATTTTAACCCTTCTATCTATGGTGCGAACCATTACAGTAGGATGGTTCTGAGAGGATAGTTATTCTTGGTCAATACTTTAAAGCAGATTTGGATAATTTTGTTTTTTGGCACGAAATCATACTATCTTTAAAAGCACGAGTTCATGAAAATCTTTCTATGGTCAGTATTATCCTTAGCTTCTTTTGAATATTACATTATTATCTTAATCTATTCTAATTTTAATCATATTTTATCTAATTCCACGTGAATTATCTATAGGTCAACAATTTAAAAAAAAGTTATTATAAATATTTCACTTATGTCTTAATCTATCCAAATACTAATTATATTCTATATTAACTCCATATGAACCACCTATAACTCAAAAATATAGATATCATGCAATTCAGAAAGGATTAGCGGCGCAACTTGTTGCCCGCTTGTCATCATCACATGTGTAATATTTTTATATTAGTTATTAAATACTATACAAGAAAAAAAATAGAAAAAATAAGATTAAAAAAACATACGTAGATAACATATTATAATACATGAAGTATTATAAAAAAAGCCAAAAGTTTCAAAAATTGCATATAATAGCCTTAAAAGTTTAAAATTACACAAAACACATTGACTTTTTAAAACTTAAAAACAAACATGATATCTAAAAATTTAAAACTTGTAATTAACACCCTTAATATTTTTAAAATTATAGAAATAACCTCAAAAGTTTAAAGGCTAAATTACATTTATATATCATATGTGTTTTGCTCTTAAAGCAGTTATATACCCTAAGTTACAAAATATAGCAAAAAAATATTCTGAGTTGCAAAAATTTACAAGTTGGTACCTTCTGTTAACCAGCTGTGAAAATATTCTCTGAAATATTCTCACGTGCTGGACCTATGACCAACTTGAATACTTCTTACCCTCATTTATTGACCAACTTGAATACTTATTACCCTCATTTATTGTATTATTTACTGTATTATATATTTTTTGCTATGTTTTGTAACTTAGGGTATATAACTACTACAAGAGCAAAACAATAGGGCATATAAGTGCCATTTAGTCATGTTTAAATTACAACAAAAAAATTCTAAAATTTAGAGATTTCAAAACTTAGAAAAAACATAGATGGATTTCAGGGATTACCGTTAGGCACATAGAAATCTAAAATTAGTAAAAAAAATAACCTCAAAGGTACAAAAATTACAAAAACTCTCCTAAAAGTAAAAAAATATTAAAAAATCTAAAATTTTAAAACATATAACTGATACACATCAAATTTAGAAAATATCATCAATTTGCTAAAAATTTAAAATTTTAAAAAAAAACTCAAAATTTTAGTAATTATCAAAATACCTTCAAATTTTTAGAGTTACGAGAAATATTCTAACATTTAAAAACTTATCATCAATACATGAAACATGAAAATTATAAGCACCCAACTTAAAATTTTAAATTTTTATAAAATACTATTAAAGTTTAAAATTGTAAAACACACCCTCAAAAGTTTAAATCACAAAAATGTTAAAATTTGGCAAAGAAAAGAGAAAATGTTTGATATTATTACATTAAGATATAATAGGTTAGCATTAATTGATTATAATGTATAAACATTTATCTCTAATATTAATAATACTTATTTATAAAGTAAAAAAATATAAACATTTATCTCTAATATTAATAATACTTATTTATAAAGTAAAAAAATACAAGGAGTTATGTATGAAGAAACTATCAGAAAGTACAGAGATATCCTTTAAAAGAACTAAGTTGTTTTTAGTTCAAATGGAGAGGTGAAGGAAATAAACTCAAAATTCAGAAACATTCATGAATCACCTGAATTTACATTGATAAAAAACATATCAAGCAAAGAAGCACTAACCGAGTTCTCCTTGAAGAACATATTGAACAATTATGTCCTAATTAAAAAAACATTATTCATGAAAAGTACAAGAAAAATTAGTAAGTACTTATAAATTTACATACTTTATTCTGAAAATACTGAAGGAATCATAAACTTAATATAAAATTTTATATAAATAATCTTACAATAGAAACTAAAGTGAAGTCATTGATCAACTACATTGCGAGATATAATAAACTAGATAAGATGAGAAAAATCATTATAATGGATAAAAAACATGCACATGATACTTAGTTACCATAGTGTAAGTAAAAAAATTAAAATTGATATTTTTCTTTTCTCTATATAGTGGCACGACTCTGCAAGTATCCTTATTTAGGGATATGACTACCAACGAAAGATTGATTTTTAAGAACACGATCAAAGATAAGCATGTAATAGTACTGTCAGAGTTCAAGATCTTTAAATATAAAGGTAATATATTTTACAACTAAAATTCTTATTAAAGGCCACTAAATATAATTTTTTTTTATACATGTCTCAAATTTGTATGAAAGATATGCATGTCATCGTAAATTGTGTTAATAATATATCAATTTATTGAAGAAATAAGAGATAGATAAGCAAACCAAACAAACATCCATATAACACGATAAAGAAAAAATATTATACTTTTAAAGCTAATATGCATGGCTCATTCAGAACAAGCTGCTAAAACAAAAACATCTCCATCAATGCTCTTTATAAATACAACACAAATTTAAATTATTTAATATTTTAAAAACAACTTAAATTTTTGAGTAAAACCATAAATCTTTAGAAGTGATTTTCATGAATTTTTTTAATTTTTTAAATGGTTATGTGGATGCTTTTATCATATAAAAGTGTAATAGAGTTAGTATTAATCTTTATTTTATAATTTTTTTTCTAAAGTCTATCATTGATTAGCAACAAATTTTATACTCTCCTTAGTTTCATTCTAGCCCACTTTTAATTAATCATCATGTCTTATTGGCTTTAATTATTCATCCTTCTTTTATAACATTATCTTTTCAAATGTTTTTCACTTTTATAACATTATACCTTCTTAAGCCAAGTTTGGTTTCATGCCGATCTAAATAACACGAAAATTCAAATTAGCTTTAGATTATAGTTATTTCTTATCAATTCAATTATTATATAAAAATTTAAATTTGGCGTAGCCCATTCACACAAACATTAAAAAAATAATATTCACAATAGTAAAGTTTAAAAACATAAGTCAAAAATACTTAATTATAATATTTAATCACGTGCATTGCACGTGCATAAATCCTAGTATTATTCAAATTGCTCAGTTCGTATGAGACGGTGGATCAGGTTGTGACATCTTATTACTGCACCCGAAACATGGAGGCCCACCAGGGTGACTGTTTAAGTCTCGGTGCCCAATTGATCTGCTCAAGCCTGGCCCATATATTTTTTCTAGGACCTAAAGCAATTTTCTTTTTATTAACAAAACACCTAACAAATAATTGAGCCCATCCTGCGTCTGTTTTAGTCTTTGAGCGAGAAGATGATTACATCTCATGATTAAAGATCTTTTTTAGACAAAAAAGAAAAGAAATCCAAGGACAGGGGAAGCCTGAAAGGCAACCCACGTGCAGAGATTGGTGCGCGCTCCTTTTTTTTCTACGTGGCAGCATTCCACTGGCTATAATATATTTGGGGAATGGGTTCCGGTGACCGGGAGAACCGGTACAAAGCGGTCAAACACAGGGGGGGACAAGGAAATGTGCTCCCGATGCGTCCAGTCAAAGCAAAGGCCTGAACAGTCAAACAAACAGCAATGAGTTGCCACTTTATGGAAATTGATTACATTCTAAACACTAAACTCTGCTTTTTTAAAATCTTATATAGATACCTTACCCTTTTTATATTGCCCACTGATTAATTTGAGTCTGACAAGTCAGGCATACTATATAAAAATTAAATTGCCATTATTCATTTTCAGATTCTATTCAAACTATTGCGTGCAGTGTGTTTAGAAGATAATCTTTTAAGTTTCCATAAATCGAAGTTTTTTTTGGCTAAATTGCATTTAAATATCCCAAAGTTTCACTAACCTTGCACATAGATACCTCCTATTTTAAAACCGAGAAAGAAAATTCAAACTATTTTGCAGATAAATGCCATGTAGTTAAAAAAAACCCATACATTGATAATTTTTCTCTACATATCTAAAAATGTCAGATAATAGAGGGTATTAAACTGAAACTTTAAAAACGTTAGGGCATTTAAATGAGATTGTTTATAAACCGAAGATATTTATATGCTACATTGGGCAAACTAAAGGACACCTGCGTGCAACAACGAGTGAACAATAGAGCACAAATGTGCAATGTTTATAATTTTAGGATATTTATCTATAATATTTAAATACCTCGGAGCAACTAAATGTGCGATTTTAAAATAAAGAGCATTACAATGAAAAAGTTAGTGAAATTATATAGCCCATGTACTTTCAATTTAGGCTTTTATTTTAGACCATCAAAATATTTTCAAACCCCTTGATTAATATTTTAAATTTTTTTAATACTATGATTTATTTTGTATTCAAAATTAGTTTTTTTTTTAACTGAGCCAAATGCATTTCATGTGTTGCGACATGACACATCTAAAAAGTTAAGTGTGACCGGAAGTGATTATTACCATCTAAAAATATAGGTTAAATCTGTGAAGTATTAGATTAAGACGAGGGTAAAACAGACAATCCGTCCCTTGAGGAATATCCATATAGAACCTTGCAATTACGTCCCCGCCCGTCAGACCTGCACGTGGGTCTCGCAAGCCTAGGCACAACGCGCTACC